AGCTAGGTGATGGATAGAAGAAAAATATTCCCGGACACCCAGAGGCCTCCCCCAGTCACAGACTGTGGGCACCAGCTAACCTGGGTGCCAGCTGGTCGAACCCCCCCCCACTGTGCCCTCCTATATAGCTGCCCCAAAGCCGTGGGGTTCCCTAGTCCAGTACGCGTCAATCAGTCCTCTGTTGTGTCTGACATCCACTCCGCAGGCACACGTACGCTGCACAGGGCTGTCGATATTTCCAGCAGTGACACAGCAGCCTGATGCCTCTTCTTGTCTGGGACGTGGGGTCCTTCACAGCTCTTCTGGGATATGGGGCCCTTGATGAACTCCCTGCTGCCTCTTCTGGCGTTCTCTACAAGCTCATAGATCCCTCCTCTTCCTCCTCCTCCTCCTCCTCCTCCTCCCCTGTGGTGGGGTGCAGACCAGTGGCTCTTCCTGCAAAGCTGACAGCCACATGCAGCACTACTACGCACTCAGTACTCATCTGGGATGGCACCCCCGCCCTGAGGGCCCTGCAGATTCCCACCCTTCCTGCAACCAGGCCCCCTAAAGCTGTGAAACTACTCAGAAGTCCTGCCCCGACACTCTCACAGACCCCAAAATGCCTCCAAACCCTGCTGCAACATTGTCGCTGACTCCAGACCTTCCCCTAAACTCTGTCCTTCCCCCTCCAAGCCCCATACAGTCCTAAAACCACTCCTAGACCCTGTCCCCACAGCAGCGAGGTGTCCTAATTAGAGGGTGTGATCTGTGTCCCCCTTGACTCAGTCCTGCTTTGGAGAAAAGAGAATTTGCAGCACTTCTTGGTGAATAATGTTGGCAGGTGGGTGCACAGATGACAAACAGATTTTTCTCTCTTCTTCTGAGCCACCTCTCGGGACCCTCTGTGCCTGCAAGAGGACTTTCTAAATGCGGCTGGTCTGGGATAATTGTGCTCTGTGCAATGCTTAAGGAGAACATTAACATACAATTGCAGGCTAAGGAATAACCTAAACAAATAAAAGGCTCAGGAAAAGCCTAAGGGAACGTTGAAGGGCTTTGGGAAGCCCCCAACCATACTGTAGAAAAAAGTGTGGGTCTTAGGCACGTCCTCAGAGAAGGAGAGATATGTTACTGCAACCCATAGACAATGGGTGCTATTAATTACCACCTTTAATTACCAAAAGTGTTGTGAAAGCAGAAGGGGCTAGAGATGATGCATAGCAGATTATTGACTATCGGCAAAGTTGAAACAAACAACCCCCTCTTAAAATAGAAATGGGTTAGTCCTAAGTAGCAGATGAACTTTGAGTTCATCTTTGAGTAATGTGAAGAGCAGCGGTTATGTCAATCACCCTGAAAGCCTTAGAGAAGCAGTACAAAAATCTGATACCCTCATGGCCTCATCAGTCTTTTGGGTTTGTTTGGCAGGGCAATCCACCGACGGAGGACATCTTGAAGAGAAGCAGCCTAGACCTCATGATCCAGGTGTTCACTTTGGTCATCACCTCTGAGACAAGCATCCACTTATAGGAGGAATCTAGGAGATGTATCAAAAAGGTAATAGATTCAAAACAGAGGCAAGCAAATTAAATGCTATCATTCTTCCACGCAGTTAAAGACTGAGAGAATTGTGCACTAAGCATGTGTATACAAGGGTTTGAGAAAGGATACTGGACAGTACGATAATACTGTACCAGAATAAACGTAATGTTTCATGGAAGATCGTGTAGGTAACTATTAGGTAATGTGCCTGCCTGTCTCATAACCTAGCTTTAACTGCTATATGTAATGTTTCCAGACAGTTTACCCTGTAATGTATGATGGCAAGTGCTGTGCTAAGACCTTTCCTTTAAGGAAAAGAAAAGGAAAAAGAAAAAAGAAAAAGAATATGGTAAAGAGAAAAAGAACGTGCATAAATCTAGAGCCTTTCATTGAAAGGAAAATGCAAGTTTATCTGTTTGTTATAGAGATGGAAGCAACGACAGCAAATGCTGACAAAGAGAAAAGATGGATGAGCAGTTTTTTGTGATTAATATGTAAGGGACTGCATGAAACAAGGAAGCAAAAATGCAGTGGACCCTTGATATCACCAGAAACTGCTACAGCAGGATGTGTTCTGGCATGCGTAATTAGGGTAAGTATTGATAATGACTGTTTGTTATTTCAGCCTCCCAGGGGCAAGACTGAGGACCAAGTAACCCATTCCCAGTGTGGATGTTGTTAACTGTATCTGGCTTAGCTTAGTTTTGCTTTGGTCATTTCTATTTTGTTTTGTTATCATATCTGCATATATAAAAAGGGAATGACATAATACTTACTTTTTAGATTAATTGCTATGGTTGAAGTTGAAGAGACCAGAAAAACGTAAGCAAGCTGAAGTAATAAAATCAAATGGATCCAAATGAAAGCTGTCTCCATCTCCCAACAAGAGAAACTCCATTCCTTCTGTAGAGGAAGTATCCCTATGAATAGCGATCAGGATAATAGATCACCAACATATAACAGAAGGTCTGTAAGCGTTATGAAAAGTACACTGCATACATACATTTCTCTGCATGTGACTTTATGTATCTAGGAAGGATCATATTTTATGAGCTTCAAGACAGCAAATTATTATCTTAGGTGAATGATAGTCAAGTGACCAGAGTTACCAAAGAGGAAGTGGCAGACACAAGTGTCTGAATTGTAAAATTAAGAGGTGAATTTCAGGAAGGCTCAATTGGTTGCAACCCCATGTTAATTACATGGGAATTGTGTTTGGGAAAACGGGAAGACAGGTAGATGAAAGAAAGGTTAAAGCTTTGCGGAATCAAGGCTCCTTCTCATCAGTTCCAACTTAAAGCAATTTCAGGAGGACTTAAATTCTTACAGCAGTGTTAATGTAGCTTTGGTGGTATCAGCAGACTGTGGTGGGAATTATGGGAAAGGAGTCAGAACTGTGTGCTGTCATGAGCTACAGGCTACCACCCTCAGACCTTGGTTACCACGTATCAAGAGCAGCCAGGAGAACCCAAATGGCTCTGGAGAGGTTCTCTGACAGGTCCTGATGAGGATCCCTCAGCTGTAGGAAGGTTGGCAGTGTCCTTACCGGACTTGTGAGCAATAAGCCACAATTCATGGATCAGCAAAGGAGAGCGGGAGTAGCAACTGGCAGCCTCGTGAATATGGCATTGCTATTGATAGCAGCACCACAGGCTCTGTCTGTAGCCTCACCTGCCTGTTTGCAGCTTTACTTTGGCCTGTTTATCTGGAATACCCAGTAAGGTCTAAAACGCAAATTTTCGTGGCTAGATGGGTAACCTGTGACCCCACCTGTCTTTGCCTTGCTTTGCTGCTTAACGCAATAACAGTAACTTGGGACCCCAGAATAAAAACTGTTACAATGCTTAAGGGAGGATCTGCATTTGCCCAGGTTAGGGAACCAAAATTAAAGTTTTTTGGGAAAAAAAAGCTCTAAAACGAGAATCTCCCAGTGACCTTGGTGGTCTGATTCATTTGCAGGATAATGTTCTGAGGGCCGGCAACTTGAAGATAAGCAGCTCAACCCGTTTTGTTGATTTTTGGTGATACTGTTTTAAGGAAGCATGTAAGTACCGGAGGGTCTGGGAGGGTTTTCAAACAAGACAGGGAAGAGCAAGGAAGATTTGAGAGTGTGGAAAAACTAGGTGCTATAGGTACTGAAGCTGTTAAGGGCTGAGAGAATTTGGGGTTAAGCATGTGCATATGAAAGTCTGAAAGGGGCTAATGCATGAGGAATAGTAAAATACTGTGACTGAACACAAGGATCCTCCCCAGTCTGGGCCTGTGGGTGCACCCTCGCTCTTGCAGACACAGACGCTCTGGAGGTGTAGGATACAGGCAAGCAGGCCCACAAGCGGACTTTGGGCACAGCAGCATGCAGAGAGCTCTGCATGCTCAGCAGGTGAGCAGAAGTGGAGTGTGTTGAAGGCTGTTCCGGGTTGTCTGGATCCATCCAGTTCCATTCCCTGTCCCTCTGTCCAGTTCTCCAGCTTTCTGTTTCTTTTCCCGTAGCTCTGTCCAGCACCCCGTCCCTTTGTTTAGCTACTCATTCCTCTGCCCAGCTCCCCATTCCTCTTGTACTCTTTCCATCCCTCTGTCAATATTTACATCCCTCTGACTGGCTCCCTATCACTCTATCCAGCTCTCGATCATCCTTTTCCCCTCTCTGTCCCACTACCTGCCCGCTGTCCATCTGTCCAGCTCCCCCTCCCACTGCCACTCTCTGCCGCTCTTGTCTGTCTCTTTGTACCTTTCCAGCCTTCTGTCCCCCTCTCCAGCCTTCTCTTTCTCTTTCCATCCCTCTGTTCAGCTCCCCATCCATTTGTCTCCTTATCCCTCTTTCTCCCTGTTCTATCTCATCTCTCTGACTTCCCCTCCCTCTTTTTCTCTCTCCACCTTTCGAGCTGGCTCTTCATCCTTCTCATTCTCTTCCCATTGCTCTGACTGGCTCCCTTTCCCTCTCTTCCAGTCCCCGTTCCTCTGTCTGGTTCTCCACCCTTCTCTTTTGCTTCCCGTCCCTCTGTCTGCTTCCCCTTCCCTCCTTTCCTCTCTTTATTCTTCTGTCCACTTCTACATCCCTCTTTTTCTCTCTTCTGCTCCCTGGTCCTCTCTTCAGCCCTCCACCTGTCTGGCCCTCTGTCCTCTTTTTCTCTTCCTTTGTCCAGGGCCCTGACCCTGGGGCTAGGTCTCTATCCTTCTCTTTCTTTTTCCATCTGTCAGCCAAGCTCTCTATCCCTCTTTTCTTCTGTTCTGCTCCCTGTCCCTCTGTCCAGCTGAAGGTTCATCATTCCTTTGTGTTTTGTCTGGTGTGGAAGGTGTCAAGAGGCAATTGGTGCTCAGCAGAGACGATCAGTAGCAACCAGAGGGTCCCATCAATCTGCCTGGTTCAGGTCATGTCAGATACCCCTGCAGTGACTCTGTGCAGAGGCATGGGGCTGCGGATGTGCAGTGGGGGAGCACTAATG